ACAGATGTTATGCATGTATGCGGTAACGGCTGACTTCAAACTTGCATACAAAACTAGAGAACTCTGAGGCTTATTTCCTGAAGTTAGAGGGAAACATTTGTCGAAGGATTTCAGAGGTATTTACATTTTTTGTCGAAATGCGGTTTTTAATATAATCTTAATATAGAGAATTCATTTATCCTAAAACCACTCTTTCAACTGTAATATTGTGTTACTATATCAGAACTAAGATCACTGAAATTGCTATGAATACGTGGAGATATTCCTGATGGACTTCGCAAACTTGAATAGATTTTCTTTCCAGATCGGGTAACGAACAACACGCTATTTTAAACAATAGGTTCGCCCCACCTTGAGCAATAACTCCCATCCTGCCAAATGACCTCACAACGAATGATTTGGTAGATTAAATCTTGGTTAGCTGCAAAGCAGCTTTTACAACATGAAAACTCCATACAAATGGACAACAATTTGTTACTAAATAAATAGAAAATCCTTATCAAGTGTCAAACATTTTTGTGCCCTCTCTAGTTTGATTATAGTTTGCACTAAAAAGTGTCGGACATTTCATGCTTTAAAATAATTTGTACCCCTAAATGTTAAATATCCTAAATTTTCGCTAAAATATGCTCTTACTGGCTACAAAAGGCCTCAGGAAATGTTACAAGTAAATAACGTTTACTCTCACGCAAATTTCGGTTTTAGGGGTTCTGGGAAAAGTCTCGACAAACCCTGGTAATTCATGCAGAGATATCATGGAGAGGGGAGCTGCTACAGGTGACGGGGAGTACTGGATCGACCCTCAGAAAAATGGAGACCCTTTAAAAGTCTACTGTGACATGACAACTGATGGAGGTAAACAAATTATAAATGCGCTCTATTTCCTGACTCCATGCATTTTGCAGTACTCACAAAAAGTAAAGGCTTTGAAAAGCCTACACTACATAAATACAATGCCAAACCCAGAAAGCTCAAGAACGTTTGATGGTATGTGAGCAAAGTAACCAAGTTAACCTATTACCTAGAAAAGGAAGAAAGAAACAAAGAAAGAAAGAAAGAATGAGTGAATAAAGGCGTGGCGCCAAAGGGATGGCCTATTTAGGCCGCCCTCTGAAAGGACGACTTAAGACACATAACATAGATAAATACCACGAATTTTAAATGAAAAAAATGCCTTGTAACGCGATGCCGACTCGCTCGCGTCAACAGTTACATTCCACCCTCGTAACGTGAGCTTGGGACACCTGTGGTGCAGTGGGCTTTCTTGGACATTAAGCAGTTACTTCTCTGTTCTCCCGAGACTATTATCAGTTTTTGGGTAATAAAATTTGCCCATACATAATTTCTAAGCTCATGAGCAACACGTCGTTTTTACTTTTTTTCTTGCTATAGGAGGTTGGCTTCTTGTGGTTAACATCGTAGCTGATGGAGTGCTTGGCGACAATGATTCCTGGACCGCTGAAACATCATACCGCGGGATCAGTAATTACCACACTCAAAGAATGGCCATAACTGGAGATGCTATGAAGGGACTAAGAGCATACTTGAAATTCACCCAACTGAGATTCCACTGCAGCAAAAAACAAGGAAATACTTTCCACGTCATCACCGCCCCTAACAGCACCCGTGGAGAAGCTGTCGTCCGCTTTTTCAGTGCTGAAACAGATGTCCAACCATTTTCTTGCAATTCGTTTAAAAGGATGAGCGATGATAATTCTGAACTGGCCGTGAAATGTGAAAAGTGGGGAAGAAGTGACGGAAGCTCCTTCGTCGGAAAGTGGAGTGGCTTTAAATCACCGACTACAAAAAGAATGCACAGCTACGTGGCGTTCGTTTACCGAAGCCGATATGTCGGGGCTAAAGTGACTGGACATATACATTGCGATGACTATGTAGATGGTACATTCTATGAAATGTCCGCAGGAGATTTCTTCAAAATCTATGTTCGCTGAGGCTTACTGACGGATCATTTTCACACTGTCTGAATCACTTCGAAAGACTAAACGATATTTTCAGCAAACGCTTCAGTTTTCGACGCCCACAACAGATAGCGGTTTCTGTCTTTTAAGAAGCTTACGGGAAATTACGGTGTTCCTCCCGGACTCTTCCCCAGTCGTCTTTGCGTAACGCGTGTCGGCAAGGGAAGGGAGATGGGAAGAGTTTCTCATTAGCTATACCGTATTTATCCGATTAAACGCCGCGTGTTTTAGAACAATTTAGAATGAAGGTGATGTGAATTGCGGAAATAAAAATCTAAGTAAAGTTATGACTGTCGTAGTTGTAATCGCGATTTAAGTGACTGCAAATTAAGCAATTCGAATCCATGGCCTAGTTGCTTTAGCGCTGCAGTGCTCTACTTACTGAGCTATGAAAACCTATACATTGGGAGCAAGCTAGTTTGCTGAGTTTATTGCTTGGGAAAACTTCGAGATATTTTTGCTATTATTATTTTTTAATAGCAAGCAACATCGGGGTCGACTCAATGGTTTTGCTTCGAGCACCGAGCTTTTACCCTTCTCTAGCTAGCAAGCGTTGCCCATGTTTTAATTTTATTTATCGCTGTTAAGTAAGTTAGGAGAGCCCCCTTGTTTTTTTTTTTCATTTATTTATGCATTTATTCTTCTGTATTAAGGGTAAGAGTTAAGTTAAGGTTCGGGTAATTTATAAATCTGCTTATTATTACCATTATTATTTGTATTACAAACCGAAGATCTTCAGTTTCAAATAAACGACAAAATAGAAGTCTAGCAGATTTTTTAACTACACGCAATATCCTTACTTTTAAAATAAGTTTTCTCCTTTACGATTTTATATGGGTACACCGTTATAATTGAACAAAGTAAAAAACAATCTCAAGATGGCGCCCTGATCGCTCTAAATTTTTTTACGTGACTTTTTTTGACTTATGGCTCCATTTACAAGAGGTGTGTGTTAAACTTCTAATGATTATGCAATTTTATCTGTTTTTACATTTTCACATAAACAAATAAATTGGTCAGTTTTTAACGGCCAAATATTACAAATCTAGTGTTGATTAGTGCTAACCTAGCTATAAATTTCTCTCCTCTTTTAACATAAATTAGGAGAGCTTTCTCGTTGTTTTATAAGTAATATATAAAGCATGAGACGCTGTGTTTTATGACCAGATGAAACACTGAGAAGAGAGTTAAAAATACGACTCACAGCGGTTTTTTTTTTACCAACTTCGAGGTGCTTCATCTGGTGATGAAACGTTTTTCACACAAAATTGTTTTAGCAGGAGAAATTAAGAATGCAAAAATGAGCAGTTTTTCCTCTGATTTCCAAACAATCATCAAACAGAATTATTACTGAGTATGAGAAATACATATTCACGATTATTTACGTTGATTAGAGACTTACGAATTCTTACAGAGTGTAACATTAAACCATATTTAAAATTCAAAGTAAACGTTCCGTTGTGCTTGTTGATAGTTTTGTGTTCTCAATTTTTTTTTTCATATTCATATTCATAATGATTCTTTCCTTTACATTCAATCTACAAACATGACTTTGAATTTTTTATATTCGCACTCGACAATAACGACTCTAAGTCGTTTAAACGTTGTGTTTTGGCGACAATCTTTATTTTATGAGTAGGTTGATAGCAATGGTAATAAAATTAGTAACGCTTGTGCACGACATAAGTCACCAACTCAAGAGCTTTATCCTTTCGCCGGCCACAACACACTTTCCGCTTAAAAAGTATAGGCGTTCGGTCATCATTTTTAAGAATGCATCGGAGCTCCGGCTTTATCCTATATATGGGAAATCTATTTGTTAACCGATGCGGCTCAAACATTAGAACAAGCATTCCCCAAAGAATGAGTATTTTTTTCTCACGCATGTACACAAATATAACTATATAAACACTTTCATAAATGATTTGGTATTTTTTACTGTGATAATTCAGTGCTAATGAGGGTACCGCATATTCAGTAATTATGAGTCATGATGACTTTCATAGTTCTCCTCAACTGCATTTTTAATGACATAGCCTGGGAACAGGCTCCGTAGTGGGGGAAAAGGAAAAAATAGGGGTCAAATAGGACAAATATCACATATTACGCAGTAAAGATAGCATGTGTTTGCCTCAAATTCGCCGGCAGTTATTCACTCTCACACCCATTTTCTTTTAGTATATTACACATGTACATTTACTCCAATTCTCTCCCCCTTCCATCCCTGACATTTTATGCCCCCCCCCCCCGAGCTTCGCGCGGTTCTGAGATACACGTATTTCTAGTAATAGAGAGGAATAGTCGTGAGGCCCGTTCGATTCCTTTGTTAAAAGTTTTTTTGTGGACCTGACGGTGCACAACGTTCAATAGCATTCCTATCATTATTTTTGATCAGTACTGACCAATAAGGAAGTCACATCAAATTATTCATTCACAATTTGTGAAATGAGAACGAAGTGTTGTGCCCATCATCTTGTGTTATTTGCCGCCTTTCATAACCAGTCCGCTAGCCTTTCTACTAACTATAGAACGACATCTCCCCAAAATGGATCACTCCTGGCCTCCTCCGCAGGCAACTCCTTTTGAAAGGCTTAAACTGACCTTGAGTAGTCTGAGAACGAGAAAAGGAAAAATGAAAGAGGAGGAGTTTACCTGTCACTACTGTCTCAAATCTCAAATCTCAAATTTTATTTTAACACGGTAAAAAAATTCATCAGGTTTTTTGTTACATATAAAGTATAACTACATAACAATATTTAATAATAATAAATACATATCTAAAGAGTCACTGTCACTTCACGTTCTCTTCCCCATTCTCCCACCCGTTCTCTAAAACAGGACAGTGATGCCTGTGGAGGAGGGTGTCACCTATGCGTTTAAACCAAAACTAAAGTGATCCAAAGTTGAAGTTGGCTTACACGTAAATCTCGGCCTACACATAAAGGCATCTCAATTGTCATACTTATGCATTATATCACCCTTCAGAGTGCAAAGGGGTGCATTTGGTGTTACCTCTGTCCTTCAGCGTACAAAAATTTTCCAGAAATCTCTCGATGATTTTGTAAAGAGATTGATCGCGTCGTCACAGAGCCAATAGTCCCCAACAATATGCCAGTGATACCTGGAAGCTATAAATGCCGCATGATCGTACAATCGAAATGTAGCGTCCTTTTTGTCATGGTGTCCCCATTTTCCGACGTATTGTCTGCTATCATTTCCCCAATAAGCACAATGCAAAGCCAACACGGACGTATCGTCGTTCATCCTCTGAAACGAGTCGCAGGAACCTGGAAGTGTGTCAGTCTGACCGCTGAAGTAGTGGACTACAGCTTCACCCTTGCTGTTGGTGGCCGTGATGACGTGGAAGGTACGCCCATGTTGCTTGCTGCAGTGGAATCTCAGTTGAGTGAAGTTCAAGTGCAACCTCAGCCGACCCAAGGCGCTGGCAGTGATACCCACATTTTGACTGTAATTGTAATTATTGATCTCGTCGTATGAACTTGAAGGGGCCCAGGATTGCTGGATGCTACCAGTCTCATACACACCCAGAATGTTGGTAACAAGAAGCCAGCCTCCTGAACATAAATTAACAAATGAGTAAATAAAATGACTGCAAATCAGGGACATTTTTGGATAGACAAACCCACAAATGAGTCGCTAAATTAAAAGAGCCAGTGGAAATTTTAACACAGAAATCCCCCATTCAAATAGTGCAAAAAAAGAGCGGAAACTGAAATTCTTTGGCCATGTCACAAGACATCCGTATAAGCTTAGACATGACGGCCAGGCAAACATGAACACCATCATGTACGGACGAATTCCTGGAAATAGAGGGCGTGGTAGGCCACGAGGAGGCTGTATGGTGGACATCTGTCGATGGACACGGAGTACACCGTCACAAGCTCCCACGCTTGCTGAGAGCAGAGAGTTAAGAATTAGACGCATCAGAGTGGGTCTATCTACGGATCTCGAGGGAGCGTTTGGAGTAAAAGAGATAGAGATGATAACGCAAGTAGTCACTCACCTCCGTCAGTGGTCGTGTCACAATACACTTTCAAAGGGCTTCCGTCTTTCTCGGGGTCGATCCAGTACTCCCCGTCGTCTGTAGCAGCCCCACTGTCTAACATGTCTTTACACGATTTGCCAGGGTTGGCTTTTTCACCCAGTCTAATTGCTTAAAAAAAATCAGCATTGTTATTCATGCGATCAGAAATAATTTACTTTCATTTACACTGTTTTGCTGGATGCCAGAGGTGTTATTTTCCCTTTACGCTTCTCGCTGCTGGTGAACGAGAAGGCCTCTGGCGACCATGGTGCTGTTTTGCGGTCGCGCAACTTCAACTACAAACTCCTTGGATTTTGACCCGCTAAGCGTTAGATGGAACCACCAAATTATCAAAATGATTTAAGAAAACATGTCAAGAAGAAAAGGATTCCAAATACTTTGTCAAGGGGTAACAGTAGCAGGATCTTTGCTGATTTTTTTGTCTTTTCTATTGAGAATTTTTTAAAGCCGCAGATAACGTTTTGGAGATCTATGCATCGATGTGGCGATAACGTTTGGCCAGTTTACGTCAAGTTAGTAAGTTAAGCTAATTTCGGCTTCACCATTCTTCGTAACCCTACTATACTGACGAAAAAAGAATTACATGAGCCTAATCCTCAGCCTTAATATGATAACCTGTTTCGCAGAATTCTCCCGTGATGCCTGTATCACACACGCATCTGTATCCGCGATCAGTGAATCCAGTTTGACAGCGGCTATTCGGCGAGCAGTTATTGTCCACGCAAGTGTTCTGTTAAAAAAGCAGAGACAAAATAGTCTATCATTATACGACAACAAGAGACTATAAAGGGGACAGAGAGGGCATCCCCCATATACACCCTATTCCATAGGTAATTCGTCTCGAGTTATTTTTAGAATCGGGATAAAGTTACCTCGCGCGAGGCGTGGATGTTTCGTGGAGGTTTCGCATGACCAAACGCCGTGCAAAACATGTCGGGCGAGAGGCAATGAAAGCGTAAAAAGATCGAGAGCATTCCTGAATATTGAAGCGAAATGAGTCGGCGCTCACCTGGGAAAAAGGAATCGCTGGACTCTTTGACAACCCGTGAAATCAGTTTAACTCGAAGTTGTCGTAACCTCAGTGCTTTAATAAAATGAGAAATTTCGCCGGTCTATTGAAACCGGTCGTTTGTACAATTTAGGGAGTTTAAGATCCAACGACGCGGACGACAACTAGAACGTCAAAAAAACAATAGGTTTAATTAGCAAAACAACAACTTCGCACGTGCAACACACTTTTTTGTTCATTTCTTTCCCGTTTTTGCACGACTACGACGTGAAAATGCCTAATTTCGCGTTTTATGGAGGACGTAAATAAGCAACGACGAAATTTTATTTCTCTTTCTGAGCTTGAATATGGTCCCTTGAAATTCAGCTTTAGGAGGGTTCGCCTACAATTGACAAAGTAAGTGGGTAGGAATAATCGCTATAAAGACTGAAAAAAATAAACATCAAACCAGAAATTGCTCTCTTCAAACTGTAAATTATAAATGATCCTGAGAGAATATTCAGTGTGTTAAGGATTTCCCTGCTCTACTGTTAGCTCTATACAAGAGAGGAAGGGCGATTCTTTTTTAATTTCGGTTTCGCTGACACAGCTTTCGCAGAAATCTCGCTGTAGTCGTTTTCGTCGACAAAAGGAATAGCAAAATCGCTCTCCGCGTCTTCCCCCATTTTGTTCTGCGTCATTTCGTGAAGGACGCGTGGCTCTCAGCGTGGGTCATCCACGCGGAACACATTCGCGCTATGTGATTGGCTGTTGTCTAATCCCCCTTGAGATCTGTGGTGTTAAAAATAACTCGAGACGAATTACCTACGGAATAGGGTGTATATGGGGGGATGCCCCCTCTGTCCCCTTTATAGTCTCTTGACGACAATTAACACACTTAAGGCCAGTTAGAGGTTATTAAGGCACGCATTATAAATTCAAAATAATAAAAGCAAGAGATCGAGGATTTCTCTTTTGACTTTTGAATCTCAAAATCGCAATACAGTGAAACCTCTCGTTTGGGACAACTCTATTCAAGAGACAACTCCATTCAGGGGGCACAAAATTTGGTCCCGGAAATATGTTCACATAATCTTTGTATTTGTTACCTCTATTGAAGGGACACCTCTATTCAGGGGAAAGGGACACTTTTTCTGGGTCCGAAAACCTGAGTTTAACCTCCATTCAGGGCACACCTTAGCTCTCAAAATGTGACTGATCACAAAGAGGGTTGATATCTTCAGGTGTGCACTAATAAAAAATGTGGAAGCTTTCACAAACTTAACTATCTCACTTAAATCGATGAAAAGTGTTTGCTTGAATTCAACGTATAATGTCGTAGGAATATAAGTTATTGATGATTTTTGTATGTTTTCTTTGTTGGTTCATTATTAACAAACCCCGCAGCCCAACTTCTATTCAAGGAACACTTGCCCCCGTCCTGAGGGTGTCCCCTGTTTTGTGACTCATTATAGGCGGTGCAAGGCTGTTCAACGTTTCTTTGTTGGTTCATTATTAACAAACCCCGCAGCCCAACTTCTATTCAAGGAACACTTGCCCCCGTCCTGAGGGTGTCCCCTGTTTTGTGACTCATTATAGGCGGTGCAAGGCTGTTAAACGTGCTTGACCACTTTGGCAAGGCAGTTGTTGATGCAGCTTCATGTTATCTCTCAACCAAAATTCGTTTATTTTTTGGTTTTACTATAGAAAACAATAGAGCCTACTGAGAGCTAGGAGTCGAGAGCAATCTTACCTCAGCTGGTGTATAACTGAATCCAGTTCTATTTTTAACATCGCCAGGGTGTATATCGGCAGTTGAGTCGCTCAGTTCGCACACTGTTCCCCTTTTTTCACCCGCGGTTAGGTTGGTGCCAAAATTGTACGACACACAGTCAGCGTTCATAAAGCATTCAAGCTCGCAGTCATCTTTCGTCATTATTTCCTGGCTGCTTTCGATGACATGGCCATCCAGAAACTTGCCATCTAATGAGGGGTTGAACCTCAACGCTCGACAGCCATTTGTTTAGCGAGATAAAATTATGAGAAAGTAGCGAGAGAGGTCAATTACAATATACCCTAGTCCAAATTGCCAAGAGAAAAAAAGAACGAAAGAAATAAAGAAACAAAGAGAGACAGAAAGGAAGAGAGATAAGCAAAAAAAGTAGTAAATCAGCGAGGTTAGCACGGAATATTTGAGGCACCCAACCTTTCAATTAACATGTCCCTATCTCCCCATCTGAGGTAGTCTGGGAAATTTTCGCTCGTGGAAAGTGCCTCCTAGGTTTTGAAATCTGAAACGCGGCTGCTCAAGGAACCCATGCCCGAACCTTGCCAACAACTGGAATCCGAAATCCAAGTTCCACTAACAGGGAATCCAGAATTCAAGACTACCTTGGAGTATCTTAGGTAGGGTGATCTTTAACGTATGAGAAAGTTAGGTTATAATCTATCATAACACCTTTTGAATCATCTTCATGATCAGTACTAATAGCTGTCTACGGCTGTAAACCCGCTCTATTACAAGTTCTATCGGCGTCATGCATGCAGAAACTCGCAAAGATGTCAAGAAAGGTAACATTTTACACAGTACAGTCAACCTGTTTAAAATTTTAATGGGATTCCACTAACGAAAAGGGATGACCTTGTACATGATAAAGAAAGGAAAATATGTTTAAGAGCAGAAAAATAAAGCTGATGTAACGTACCAGTTTCTTGAATGATTTCCATCCAGAAGAGTTTATTGACGGAAAATATCAAATACACGAAGTTTTGCCAAGTCATTCTGTTACATATTAACAGTGAAAATTGCACGGAAACTGTATCTACAGAAAATTCACCCTTGTTCTTGAGACAATTATAGTATAAAAGGGACCAAATGAATTTTTTAAATTAAAACAGGGCAAGACCGTTTAATAATTCACGTCTCATATGTGCTACTGTAAATTACATAGTTTGAACGGATTAACTGCATATATTAAACTCAACGGGACCACTTCTAAAAAAGTTGAATAGAACTATTTTTTCTGTAGGCCGCCTACCAATAAAAACAATTAACCATTGCACTAAAATTCACTTATTTCCAGAAAAAAATGGGATTGTCCGCAGAAGTACTCAGCCAAGACCCGTCAGTTTATAGTCAGAAACTGACTACCCAATTACAAACTAGACATGACGATCGTCATTTAAATACCCCGTCTACCCAGGCAAATATGGCAAATACTTCTTTTCATTCGAAGTATTAAAATGACACATGGGGGATATTTCCGAAAATGCCTAAATTGTGTTATCAATGTTTCAGTTGCGGCGAAACATAATTCTATAAGGCAAAAAAAGTCGGCTCTGACAGACACCAAGCTTTAGGATTATTATAATGCCTTCGTGCCATGCAGCGCCAGACATAAAAAAATTAATCCAAAGATTTCAACCAAAAGAATAAATAGCACTTGGAAAAGATGAAGTAATCCATCATACATCTGTTTAAAACTTCAGTGGTGGGAGTTGATAAGTGCATTATTCTGTGTAAGTTTGATGGCCGTTCTAAGTTTATATAAGGGTTAAGCCCGGTTTGAATAGGGCAATTATAGCTCGGAGCCATCAAAATCGAGCAGAAACCAAGTGTTTTTAAGCTTGTGGCCTACGATATAATAAAATTGTTCTGTGGAAAAAATATTTCCAATATTCTGGAGACATCTTTGCTATACACTTCTTACAGCCTCCGAAAAGTTATTTCATCATTAATAAAAAATATTTCTACGTTTCTGATTGGCTTAAATCCCCAAGTTAATTCTCTACTGAACCAGCTGATTTAAAAAATTTGGAAGACGTTTGCCGGAAGATTTCACGCTTTAATTAATGTGGCGACAACTAATCGAACTATTGCTTAAAAACGTAGCACGAATAGCATATAACCACTTGGCTGAAAAAAAATTGCTGTTTGAAGGATATCTGATAAATATTCCTTAAAAACCGCTAAGGAAAAGGCAAATGTTATAATTATTAAGTCGGGACATCATATGTAGTTCGAGAAAAGTATGTTTTGAAGTTGAGATATTATATGGCCAACTATTAGGCATTTTTTCACCAATTATCATTGAGTTTCGTTCATTTTCTGAGCTCTTAAAGATTTTGTACCATTTAACTCTCATGAATTAACGTTCACTGTCAATATGATGAATTATCATTCGATGCAAATTGTTCTTCCTTTTCATCGGCCGAAAGCCGACATTGTGACCTGCAAATAACTACCTACAAATAATGGTCTGCTCATGCGCAATGTCGTTCAGTCGTGTTTGGCTGCTGTTTGGCTTTAACTGTTTGGCAGCAAATGATATTCTGCTCATGCGTAAACAAAACCTCTTTTCTCCTTATTGCGATCGCTCTTGCGTGAATAATGGCAGATCGCTTCGCTCCCCGAAGATATTCATTGAAAACAAACTTTGTGATCGAATGATAAAACAATTATTGGACGAGGTCGAGCAATATATCGAGATTTGTCAGTGACGAGCAGATCAATTATTTGCCGAAGCCTTTTGATATGTCTATCGGAAAAACCCCGCATTTATTTTATCTTTCAGTTGATGTCAGACCTCTATTCGAGGGAAACCTCAATTCAGTCGTTGATAAGTTTAAGAGTTCACAAGTTACAATGGCGAACGATTTCAAAACGTGAACTGTCTCACTTAAATCGATGTACTGCACTTGTGGGAATTCAACACGCACCATATCAGAGATAAGTTAATTATGATTACTTATAGCAGATTCCGATGCAGGGTAAAAGAAAAATATTTATTAGTTAATTTATTGGTAGCAAATCCCAGCTAAACCTCCATTCAGGGGACACTTGTTACGCTGCAAAATGTAACAATTTTTGATGCGAAGTGTAACGACTTTTTGACGCAAAATGAAACAATATTTTTAACGCGAAAGGTGACAAGCAAGACGTTACAGCCATGAAATAACTGAGAGACTTGGATAAAGAAAAAAACTTGCTGGTGGTTACAAAAATATATCAAATAAACTTGCAAAACGTTTTTCGATAATAGTAACTAAATCCTGAAATAGGCATGTGCAGTACAAGTCACATGGCCTCGGAAAAATGGTATGGCCAATAATAAAAAGCTAGTTGTAATTTCTTTGGAGTACGCGTGAGATAATCAACAGTGTTAAATTGGTGTTGGCATGGTTAAGTTTTCAGGCAGCAGGACTGGGTTGGTATGAAATTTCTCACATTTACTGGAAGTCCGGTAAGAAATGAGAAATTTCATATCTATCACCTTTCTTACGTTTTCCTTCTATTTTTAATTGCTGGCTGGTGCGTGTTTCCTACGGTGTTATATTAGAAGTATTCCTTTGTTCACATTTGTAGTCATATTCTTTAGCTTAGCTTTAAAAGGATATTTTCCATACGTCATGTTTAATACGTTAGCGTTGTTGTTATTGTCCATACTCAGAGGCAGCGTTTTGAAACGTGGGGGCTCATCTTTGACTCAGCTAAACGCAAACCCCTACTCAAATTTTCCAAAATGTCCTTTGCGTTATTCGTTGGCACAAGCAAATGTTTTTGCAATCTTCACAGTGTCTACTGTGTCCGTAATCGATCTTTGACAATGCATCGGTGGGCAGTTGTTCTTGAGCCGTCTAAGTGCAGAAAATGTGTGCTCTGAAGTCACTGATGTTACAGGTATTGTCAAACACATCAGTAAAAGTGTTTTTAGGCACCAAAACGTGGGGGGCTCTGTCCCCACAAATTTTTGTTTGGGGTGGGAGCTACGGCCCTTGCCCCCTACTCCGCTGCCTATGATACTACTTTTCCAAAGTTATACATGACTTGTAACTCTATCACCTGCTCAAGACTTTTTGTAAGTTTTAATTTTTGATATTATAAAAAAATATCTATAAATAAACTTGTTTTTCTTACCACTAGACGACGTACACTTTATACCAACAACGTTTATATCCAAGTCTCTCATTTATTTCCAGGCTGTAACATTTTGCTTACATTTCGCGTTCAAAATATTGTTTGATTTTGCGTCAAAAAGTTGTTACATTTCGGGTTAATGTTACATTTCTCGTTAATGTTACATTTTCGTCAATTGTTACACTTTGCGGCTTAACAGACACTTGCCTTGGTCCCAAGGCTGTCCCCTGAATAGAGATTCCACTGTAAAATTTTTTTGAGCGTTCCTAAATACGACGACATAACCTGCTGAACAAGTTTTCAGTTAAGCCGAAGGATTTTCAAGTGCCAATTTATTTTTTTTAAAAAAGCGTACAATACTTACCAGCAAAGCTGAGTTATTTGAGTTTTACAGAGTTGGTGTTGTTTTTTCTTCCAAATTATCCCATACTTTCTCTTTAACAAGACCTTCTCCGAAAGGAAGATATTTGGTGTTGTTGGTGTTGTTTTTTTTGTATGCGCAGATAGGAAAAATGAATGATTAGCATTGATCACATTTTGTATGAAAATTCAAACCAGTGCCAATTGATACAGGTATCTTGGCGCCTGAGTTTAAGAAGTACAATAAAACTGATCATGAATTATACTCTATTGATTACATTAATAAATAACTGGAGACACTCGCATATCACAGAAGGACTTAACAGTTTTGACATCAGTTGATATGGCGTGCAACGTATTGTATGCAATGTTAGGTTTCAGTTTGATGGCGTTTCTCTTTACCTTGGGGAGCTGTTTACAGGATGAAGGTAAACGTGGGTTGCAAATTCTATCATATTCTATCCCCATAGTTCATGGCTGCACGTTTGTCATATTATTTAAAAAGTTTTATTCCCTTTTATTGTATTGTTCAGTTATATTTGTTGCAATTTGTTATCATTATTTTTTATTTATCTTAGTGATTTGAAAAAGCCATCACGACAAAAATAAAGAGATAAAAAGATCAGTTATTTTTATAGAGGCACTGATCAGTATGGAGTTCTCATCGCAATTCAGCTTTATATTGACCAGGGGAATAGCAGCACAGTTATTCTTAAAAATCCTTAAATTAGTCTTTTTTTAAAAAATGTGTGTATGTTAACCTAACTGAGGCAAACCATTAATTTTTTGGATGCAAGAGATTTCGTCAGAGCAACATAAATGAAAATTGAAAAAAAAAAAAAAGAGTTTCCCTCTACAGCTGTACGTTCAATTGCAAAAGTATACACGTTCGCCGACATTTCGCCCAATATTTTTATGCCAATTTCCAAATTTTTACAGCAGCTTATAATTTTGACAACAAAAAACTGTTATCTAACAACAACTGTAAAAGCTTTATGTACTGTCAACATGTTCCCAACTAATTTTTTAGTTAAAATGTAAAATATATGAATTTCACTGTTTTAAATTAAAAGTCAGTACAATTGGCAAGAGGCTGGCATTTATATCCACCCAGGGAAATAAATAGTTTTCTTTATAGTTAAGTTATATTTAAATTATAGTTAAACTGTCAAGGTTGCAACTTTAAAATAAAAAAAAGTGCATGCACTGCTAAAAAATCTGTTCTTTCTCTGCTTAGGAAAACAATTATATTACGAAGCTTTGACATCACAAATCTTTCAGAAAATGAGACGTACAAAAGATATTGGCATTAATCACGTCCACAGTCTCCGAGTATTACGTTGATGAATGTTAACCAAACTGCGCTTTGGCAAAGTTATTTTGGCGTATTACCAGTTTGTCCCCGGCTTCACCCAGGTGTATGAAGAGTATAAATGGGTACCAACGACATACTTCTATGGGTGTTACCCTGCGATAGATTAGCATCCTGTCTAGGGGAGAGTAGCAAACTCCTACAAATGCTTCATGTTAAGGAAACCGGGATAAGCTCCGGCCGTTTGGGCTTTTGGCTCGTGTGCGTCTTGACCTTTTCCCGAGCTGGTACCCCTGGCAATTCTTGCTGCGGCTTGCCGCCCGGTTTTCCAAATCCTGACCCTATTTCAGACCAAACTGAAATGTTATTTTCCACACCCGTTTTCATACCTGGCTTCAATCTTAGTTCCATAGCGATTTTCAGACCCGGGATAGGCAGAACTTAAGTCATTAATTATTACTTAGATTAGAAAGCCAACAAAAAGATTTGTTGAAATCAATTTCGAATTCACATACCATTCTTTATTTCTTATTCACTGGAATTTTGTCATTTCTTATTCATTTGGAATTGAAATAACAAGTACACTCCCGTAGTTCCCTTGAAACCATACCCGATTCCAGACCCAAACGAACAAAAATTTAATCCCATTTTCAGAGTGCTGACCGAAACGGCGCAAAATCTATACCCTTTGGGGCGGCACAAACATATATGACTTATATAAGGGAATACCCCCAGACCTTTTTTTTACTATATTACAACACTTTCAACTACTAAGAAAATATTTATTTTACTTCTTTAAGCTGTTTGATACACGATTAACTAATTTTAATCAATAGGTAACTGTCGTACACTGAAGTTTGGCAGTGCAATAAGAGACAAAGCCCTTGTTGGTCACCTAGTTAAAAGTTACGAAGTAAATTCTAGAGATGATTGCGAGTTGCAATGCTATATGGAGAGTACGTGCATGTCAATCAATTTTGGACTTGGTGCAAATGGAAAATATTTGTGTGAACTAAGTAGCTCAGATCACGAATTGCATCCTCAAGATTTGAAACATAGATCTGGCTTCATCTATGGGCCAACTCTGGTAAGATATAACGACATATATAAATAGAAGTGAATAAATGTTTTTTTTGTTTTTGTGTGTCCAAGCTTTTTTGATGGTGTGGGTGGTAAATCAGGAGTTGTGCTGACGGTAGTGGCCGGGATGAGTGGTCATACATAATCTTTTTTAAAAGGTCTTTGAGAAGTTAAATCTTCTGGACTTACCCGCAGCCTTAAAAAGAAAATCCTTGGTTCATTCGTTTCGTGTTTTGGGGGCAGTCACTCCCTCAGTTCAGTGTTCTGTGGTATGGCAATAAGGCATCTCTGTTTCTGTCAATATTACCTCAGAGACGATTTATTCGCGAGAAGAATAGTTTAACCGGTTAGGTATAAAAATTATCGGAGTATGTAACACTGTACGTCACTGTAGTTGCAGAAAGACTAAGAAACTGTACGTTATACTACTCTACCTTGAGTGAAACACTGCCGTTAAAAGCTTTCAGAGTTGACGGCTATTTTTCATAACCCAGTGACAATGATTCGCCGATAACGTTAAAATTCGTAAATCTGCACAGTGGGTTTTTGATCATTTGAGCATATTATTAGGTGAATGGGCTTTATCGTTACATCTGTACTGTGAATTTATTTTCTTTAAAAATGCAGAACTTCTGTGTTAACAGTCAGTGCTCTTCGAATAGCCGCTGCCAAACAGGATTTACTGACCGTGGATACAGATGCGTGTGTTCTGCTGGATATACAGGGGAATATTGTACAGAAGGTTATACACTAGATATTTTTACTATGTTAGTAATCGCGTTTTTCACAGAGAAATTAAACTGATCTCTATGAATTTTGGCCCCCATAATGAAAAATGGTGGAAATCTTCGGCGATTTTCTTGTAGGTTTGAAAACGTTGAAGATACCAGCGTAAAAACTCATTTTTGCTAAAAAAAAAATGTAAATAACTTTGAAACCCTACGACAGATGTTATGTATGCGGTAATGGCTGACTTCAAACTTGCATACGAAACTAGAGAACTCTGAGGCTTATTTCCTGAAGTTAGAGGGAAACATTTGTCCAAGGATTTCAGAGGTATTTACATTTTTTGTCGAAATGCGGTTTTTAATATAATCTTAATATAGAGAATTCATTTATCCTAAAACCACTCTTACAACTGTAATATAATGTTACTATATCAGAACTAAGATCACTGAAATTGCTATGAATACGTGGAGATATTCCTGATGGACTTCGCAAAGTTGAATAGATTTTCTTTCCAGATCGGGTAACGAACAACACGCTATTTTAAACAATAGGTTCGGCCCACCTTGAGCAATAACTCCCATCCTGCCAAATGACCTCACAACGAATGATTTAGTAGATTAAATCTTGGTTAGCTGCAAAGCAGCTTTTACAACATGAAAACTCCATACAAATGCACAAGAATTTGTTACTAAATAAATAAAAAATCCTTATCAAGTGTCAAACATTTTTGTGCCCTCTCTAGTTTAATTATAGATTGCACTAAAAAGTGTCGGACATTTCATGCTTTAAAATAATTTGTACCCCTAAATGTTAAATATCCTGAATTTTCGCTAAAATATGCTCTTACTGGCTACAAAAGGCCTCAGGAAATGTTACAAATAAATAACATTTACTCTCACGCAAATTTCGGTTTTAGGGGTTCTGGGAAAAGTCTCGACAAACCCTGGTAATTCATGCAAAGATATCATGGAGAGGGGAGCTGCTACAGGTGATGGGGAGTACTGGATCGACCCTCAGAAAAATGGAGACCCTTTAAAAGTCTACTGTGACATGACAACTGATGGAGGTAAACAAATTATAAATGCGCTCTATTTCCTGACTCCATGCAGTTTGCAGTACTCACAAAAAGTAAAGGCTTTGAAAAGCCTACACTACATAAATACAATGTCAAACCCAGAAAGCTCAAGAACGTTTGATGGTATGTGAGCAAAGTAACAAAGTTAACCTATTACCTAGATAAGAAAGAAAGAATGAGTGAATAAAGGCGTGGCGCCAAAGGGATGGCCTATTTAGGCCGCCCTCTGAAAGGACGACTTAAGACACATAACATAGATAAATACCATGAATTTTAAATCACAAAATGTCTTGTAACGCGATACCGACTCGCTCGCGTCAACAGTTACATTCCACCCTCGTAACGTGAGCTTGGGACGCCTGTGGTGAAGTGGGCTTTCTTTGACATTAAGCAGTTACTTCTCTGTTCTCCCGAGACTATTATCAGTTTTTGGGTAATAAAATTTGCCCATACATAATTTCTAACCTCATGAGCAACACGTCGTTTTTACTTTTTTTCTTGCTGTAGGAGGTTGGCTTCTTGTGGTTAACATCGTAGCTGATGGCGTGCTTGGCGACAATGATTCCTGGACCGCTGAAACATCATACCGCGGGATCAGTAATTACCACAATCAAAGAATGGCCATAACTGGAGATGCTATGAAGGGACTAAGAGCACACTTGAAATTCACCCAACTGAGATTCCACTGCAGCAAAAAACAAGGAAATACTTTCCACGTCATCACCGCCCCTAACAGCACCCGTGGAGAAGCTGTCGTCCGCTTTTTCAGTGCTGAAACAGATATCCAACCATTTTCTTGCAATTCGTTTAAAAGGATGAGCGATGATAATTCTAAACTGGCCGTGAAATGTGAAAAGTGGGGAAGAAGTGACGGAAGCTCCTTCGTCGGAAAGTGGAGTGGCTTTAAATCACCGATTACGAGAAGAATGCACAGCTACGTGGCGTTCTTTTACCGAAGCCGATATGTCGGGGCTAAAGTGAATGGACATATACATTGCGATGACTATGTAGATGGTACATTCTATGAAATGTCCGCAGGAGATTTCTTCAAAATCTATGTTCGCTGAGGCTTACTGACGGGACATTTTCACACTGTCTTTGAATCACTTCGAAAGACTAAACGATATTTTCAGCAAACGCTTCAGTTTTCGACGCTCACAACAGATAGCGGTTTCTGTCTTTTAAGAAGCTTACGGGAAATTACGGTGTTCCTCCCGCACTCGTCCCCAGTCGTCTTTGCGTAACGCGTGTCGGCAAGGGAAGGGAGATGGGAAGAGTTCCTCATTAGCTATACCGTATTTATTAGATTAAACGCCGCGTGTTTTAGAACAATTTAGAATGAAGGTGATGTGAGTTGCGGAAATAAAAATCTAAGTAAAGTTATGACTGTCGTAGTTGTAATCGCGATTTAAGTGACTGCAAATTAAGCAATTCGAATCCATGGCCTAGTTGCTTTAGCGCTGCAGTGCTCTACTTACTGAGCTATGAAAACCTATACATTGGGAGCAAGCTAGTTTGCTGAGTTTATTGCTTGGGAAAACTTCGAAAGATTTTTGTCATTATTATTTTTTAATAGCAAGCAACATCGGGGTCGACTCAATGGTTTTGCTTCGAGGACCGAGCTGTTACCCTTCTCTAGCTAGCAAGCGTTGCCCATGTTTTAATTTTATTTATCGCTGTTAAGTAAGTTAGGAGAGCCCACTTATTTTTTTTTTCATTTATTTATGCATTTATTCTTCTGTATTAAGGGTAAGAGTTAAGTTAAGGTTCGGGTAATTTATAAATCTGTTTATTATTACCATTATTATTTGTATTACAAACCGAAGATCTTCAGTTTCAAATAAACGACAAAATAGAAGTCTAGCAGATTTTTTTAACTACACGCAATATCCTTACTTTTAAATAAGTTTTCTTCTTAACGATTTTATATGGGTACACCGTTGTAAATGAACAAAGTAAAAAACAATCTCAAGATGGCGCCCTGATCGCTCTAAATTTTTTTACGTGACTTTTCTTGACTTATGGCTCCATTTACAAGAGGTGTGTGGGTTAAACTTCTAATGATTATGCAATTTTATCTGTTTTTACATTTTCACATAAACAAATATATTGGTCAGTTTTTAACGGCCAAATATTACAAGTCTAGTGTTGATTAGTGCTAACCTAGCTATAAATTTCTCTCCTCTTTTAACATATATTAGGAGAGCTTTCTCGTTGTTTTATAAGTAATATATAAAGCATGAGACGCTGTGTTTTATGACCAGATGAAACACTGAGAAGAGAGTTAAAAATACGACGC